GGCATTGGCATTGGCATTACCGTTGTTGCCGCCGTTCTGGGCGTTGGTGTTGGCACCGCCGTTGTTGTTCTTGCCCCGGGTCCGTCCGTTGCCTCCGTTGTTGCCCGTGTTAGCATTGGTGTTTCCGGTATTAGCATTGGTGTTTCCGGCGTTGGCGTTGTTGTTGCCAGCGTTGGCATTGTTGTTGCCAGCGTTGGCGTTGTTGCCGCCGGCCGCAGCATCGCCGTTGTTGGCGTTGTTGTTGCCATTGCGGTTGCCCTTGCCCTTCTGTCTTCCGTTACCATTGCCGGCGTTGGCATTGCCATTGTTGTTGTTGTTGTTGTTGTTGTTGTTTCCGTTGTTGTTATTGTTGTTGCCAGTGTTGGCGCCGGAGCCGGCAGGGCCGGCAGCCTGCTGAGTGGCATTGTTGCCGAGGAGTTCCTTGATGGCAGTAACACCCTGATCGTCCTGAGTCTTGGCTTCCTGGTTCGACTTGACGGCGGCAGGGAGGTCGACGATGTTCTGCTGGACCTGCTTCAGGACACCGTCCAGGGTCTGGGCGGTGGGAATGTTGGCAGGGGTGTTCTGCTTGGGCTTCGTGTCCGTCTGCTGAACAGCGAAGCAGCCGCCAAAGGGACCCTTCGCGTTATCGTTGAAGCAGCGGACGGTGCAGACATCACCGGTGGAGGCTATCAGCAAGTTTGTTAGTCATCGGCAAACTTGAAACGCGGCGGAGATTCCTATGGCGACGACCATAGAGGAACATGGAGTTGACGTACCTCCTACGCAAGCCAAGTCATCTGGCATCGTGACCTTGAGCTTGATCTGTCCGCTCTGGGCTCCTGCCTCTTGCACCTGAAGCTTCGTCTGACCCGTGGCACCGTTGGCGTTGCTAGTCAAGTCAAGATCGCAGCTGTACGGTCCGGCGCCGTCCGGGCTGACTTGGGCGATGGTGACGTCGACGTTAGACCCCTTTGTGACCTTCGTGACGGTGTTATTGCCCAGCTGAGCCTCTGTGGTCTCGCCGATATCGATGTTGCCCGCGAGGATGGTTCGGCCGCACTCGTTGACGACATTGTCCACAATCTCCTTCTGGTTGATGATGTTTGCATCCGCCTTGTTTGCATCGACTGGAAGCATTTGTCAACGATGCTTCCTAGAATTTGCGCATCTCGTATCATAAAAGTGCATACCTAGAAGACCTGGACTAGCAGGGCCGTTGGGGCCTTGCGCGGCAAGAATGACACCTTGGGCCTGGGCCATCGCCAACATGGCGGCAGCGGCCAACGCTCTCATCATGGGAGAAGACATGGCTGTGAGAGGAGACAGGTGGACCGAAAAGAAAAGGTAAACACAAGCCAAAGTTGGATTAGTAGCGAAAGGAAGTTAAAAAACAATGTGTCCAGCACCGCGTTGATGGAAGGGAAAGAAACGAAAGAGGTTTGGTTATGGCCTCTCTCAAGAAAAGAACAGACCGGCTGGGAGTGTGAAAAGGAAGAGAAGGGAAGAAAAACCCAAGAAGAGATCGAACTCAAGGAAAGTGTGAGCGAGCGATCCAAACGGGAAGAGCACAGGGAATCCTGCGTTTTACCCGATGTGCGAGGCCTATTAAGTTTTATACATGCCTGCTTCCTATTTCCTCTTTTTGGTCTTACCCCCTTTGGCGATGACAAGAGGAGTTACTTCAAGGGTAGAGCTTGTTTCGACAAGGGGTCACAGACGTTGAGGATGGGAGGGTGGGCGATGGGGCTTGTTGGAAAAGATGAGAGCATGTTTGTGTAAGCGCTGCTCAGCTGGTGTTGAGCCGATGGGCAAGAGTGAGAGCCAGGTGGGAGAGAAGAAGCAACAGGACCGGGGGTAGGAGGGAGTGGAAGAGCCACCCAGAATGGACCACATGGGCATGAGAGCAACAGACTTTCAGGAACCGTGAACGTTGTGCCTGTGCCTTGTGCCTAAACTATCCAGTCTTTCTGCAGACTGCGGCTCTTCCTGCCCGTGTTTCCTCAAAGGTTCTGGGCAGGCTGGGTAAGGCAGGCGAGGGACCCCGGGCTAGCACAGATCCCCTCCGCGGCTCCGACGATCTTCTGGAACGGATGCCGTCGCGTGGGTGGAGATGTCAGGTGGGGACGGGGGCGTTACGCGGGTTATAGACTCATGGAGACCTCTGTGGAGTTGGAAGGGGGTTAATGGAGACTCTTGGAGGCTGCGCTGAAGTCTCGAGGTCGCCCATTCGAAGACAAGGACCAAGACCGAGTCTTCTCCGTGGGGGCATGGCTGTGTCGCCCAATGTCTGCGTTCTTGCTAGCCATGCCTAGTGACTGGTCATGGGGCGGATAGGGCAACGAGAGCGACAGGGGGCGACCATCCCGTCATGTCGGCCGGGGATGCATCGATTATGGGCAGATGTTGAGCTGGGAGTCCAGACGAAGACGGGGCTGCAACCGCGTTTCAGGCTTTTGAAGATGGGCCATGATCGGTTATAACGCTGCGCCCACGAGAGAGTGGATGAGAAGGAGAGGGATCATTACCAGTCGCAATGGAGAAAAGTTGAAGCACAGTCTGGTTCCGTCCTTCTCCATTGTCCCCCCCCCCCCCCCTTTCTTCTCTCCATCATGGCGGTCCAGAAGGTGTCGCGGCGGCGAACCTCCGATGGCAGCTTTTCGTTCCCGCCCGAAGGAAAGAAAAGTTCAGACGGGCCCGCACTCTGAGACGAATTCGTAACGCACGGGAGTCCAATGACAGGTTTTCTTGCGGCGACGCTTCAGGCTTGAGCGTTCGAGATGTTGACTGAGGGGGTATTTAGACTTGATGATGCTCCACGATATTCTTGTCTTCGGGAACAAATATGTTCGGCTGCCGGACCACTTCTCCCTTCTCTTGTCGTTGCAACCTTGGTGGGAGTCGAGAGGCTAGCTGATGTTGGGCGCCCTGTAGATCCGGGATTGGCGTCGGGAAGTCTCCCCCGACACTGCTCTGCACAAGCTTTGTCAGCCCCGGAGACCAGGCCGAAGAGGACGATCCTCAAGGGATTTCCTGTAGTTTCCGGGCTTTGAGACGTGCTTCGGAATTAAGGTACAGCAACAGAGTTGAATTAGGGGCAAGCAATAAATTGAAGCGGGAGCTGCCATATTGAGGTGGGGAGAGTTAATCGGCCTAGTGTCACTCTTGTTGGAGCATGCCAGAGAGGTCCGTTCCAACTTCCAGGGCATTTTGTCCTTCGCAAGCAGTAACTTACTAAGCGTTACCAAGTTACAAGCGCAGCGAACTCGCATATCATGGCCGCTTCAGGGTTGCCCGGGCAAAAGGGAAACGCTAGGTCCAGCACCACTACCACCCACAACCGTCGTCATCGCACGACTTTGAAACAAGCACCCGGCCACTGTTTGACCCATCCAACGATTAAGGAAGGGAATGTCCCGCTGTCTTGCCAATTGATGACTGACTTGGTGGGGAGACAAAGTTCAACGGCTCTGACTGGGGTAGAGGTTTAAACACCACGGGCCGGCACACTCAAAGACCCAAAATACCTACGCAGCGTTCCTCTCGTTGGACTGCCAAAAACTCTCGCCTTCTTCCCCTTGAAAATGAGAGGGTTTCCACACCCAACCATCTTATGTGGACTGCGCCATGAAAGACTCTGGGGATGCTTTCTGTGTGAGATATGAGGACTTTTGTGACTCCATAATTCCTGTCGCTCCTGCATACTGGCGTCTCCTTGCTATTAGTGCAGCACGTGGTCGATGCGGGCTGTTATTAAGTGCACTCCTCGAGATCCCTCCTACCTTACTTCAGTCCTCTCATCTCCTTCGGGCGAACGGCTCATTCCTCTTGGCATACGTGAACTGCTCAAAATTCAGAGGACTTCGCACTGAAGCTGACTGTAGACTTTATCAAGCTTATAGAGAGATGAACATGTCCCTCACTGATGAGACTGTTGAACCTCACTACGTCTGGTGCCACTGCTTCAAACTGTCATACTGTGTAGAAATGGTGGCAGCATCCTGCGCATCAAACAACGGTAAGGAGGAAATGCGTTTTACAAGCTTCACATGCCTAATGTGGGATTCGCTCTGAGCAAAAAAAAAGTCGAGAGTCAATGCAGTCACGCTTCCAGCTTGCAGGTGTCGCCGAGGTCCCGTACATGGATGATCGTGGCCCGAATTATCCACGGACCAGAAACAACTTTGGTGCTCGCCATTTCTAACCAGAGAAAGAAGGAGTTATGTACGAATTGCCCGATGAGATGAAGTTTATTCCCCTTTTGGCACATGCCATTGTCCACTCAAGTTGCCAGAGACACGATGAGCCACACGAGGATAGGCTTGAGCTACCTTGACTATCTCTGAGGTAGGAAACCCTATACTCGTCGATAAACCGAGTAAAGGTGTCGGGGCAGAGACCTACTTCAAATACATATTCCTGACAAACATGAGTTCTTTCAATTATTTAATCATAATCAAGCATCGTGGAAGGAGAACCTTCAGGCAGTCGAACTTCTTCAGCTTTATTTATTTAATGACAGTTATAATTTTATCGGCGAAAGGGAGTAGAGCGTTCTCTGAGAGTAAAACATTCTGCGAGCCCAGCCCCGTCGAATGTGTAATAATTTGTATTTGACAGCAGAGAGCAGCAATGCGTGACGTACTAAGTAAGTAACAGGTGAGTTGATTATCTCAACTCGGTTTTAACTTACAACACGAGAAGCAGCAAGCACCTAGAATTGCTCAGTGGTCGCCGCGATACATTGTTGTATTTTTTTTGGGCTTTTTACGCCATGCTTTATAATTCTCCGACGGTAATATCAAAACCAGATCACTAGAGGTATGCCATTCTAGCACCTGCTGGCTAGTTGCAAGGTAAGGAAGGAATCCTTCAGTCGCTAGCCTAGTGAAGATATAAGTTTCCATCATGCGTTGTGGCCGAAGGATAATAATTTACTGGGCTGTCATACATGAAGTCAACTTGATGGCAAGCCGGCATTTGTCCAGGGGTGGACACTATTCTGTTCGGCTCAAGCACGTTCACCGGCCAAGGAGATTCTTTTCCAATTTTGCCCACCAATCTTGCCAGTCCACAATCTTCCTTCCAAGTCGGGCTTCTTCCGCAGCAAAGACCATAGCATGGCTCACGAATGCTTCCTTCAACGTACAGCCAACATGTCTCGCTTGGGCCTGCTCCACGCTGAGCTCACCATTAATGACAGCCTCCACAGCCCGAGAGAAGTTGTTCATCAGACCGCCATCGCCACCTTCATGACCGCCAGAAGCTGTTGGCGGGATGAAGACTTTGGCTGCCCCCGGGTCCCGAAATCGATCAAAGGTATAGACTCGGATCTCGTTACTGTCGTACTGCATCTCTCCATGGGTGCCCGAGATCTTGCCTCGCCGCTTGGACTGGGCTTCGGTGAACGCCGCCATATGAAAAATCGCCGTCTTCGGACCGCGGTCGGGGAATTCCTCGTTGCCCACAGCGCCTGAGTCGTCATCCCAGGTCAGAGTGACAATTTGATCGTCAAGAACATCATTATCTGACTCCCAGACACAACGACCATACCACTGTTTAGACTCGATGATGTCCCTTGGTGTAGAGGCGTCGTAGTCTGTAGAGAGAACCTCTTCCAAGACGGCACGTCCATGATCTTTCCCCAATGTAGCAGTGATATCTTCTATGTCAGGAACAACAACACAAATAGGCCAATCTCGTTCTCCCTTGTCATAGAGCTTTTCGAGGTACAGTTTCTTGGCACTCCAATCACAGCTCTGTTCGTGAGGACAAGAGAAGCAGTTCGTGGCGTTTCCCGCTGCCTTGGGCTTTCGACGCTGGGTAAAGAGTGATAGGTTGCCAACTGAGGAAATCAGGCTGGGCATATGGGCCGGTTGACCAGAATCCGTTCTGTAGCTGAGCAGCCACAGTAGAAAGTCGATATCATGGCAAGCCTTGCAAAGGAGTGTTGGCGCCGCAACTGACTCCTTTCGCCAGTTGCCTCGCACGTACGAATGTGAAAAATGGAACCAGCCAGCTGGCTCTGTATGCTCCACAGATATAACCTCCCCGATCACCCTGTCTTCTAAGAGAAGTTTCCTCAAAAGCATGTTGTGAGGGCTGTATCGTAGAACATGACCGGTTGAAAAAATTGTTTCCGGTGTTGCACCGCCGAGGCTGACGTATATATCCTGGCAGTCCTGTAGAGATGTTGCAATCGGCTTCTCGCTCAAGACGTGAAGTTTGAGTGGTCCAAAGGCTTGCAGGATCTCTTTGTGTGTTTGGTCCTGAGTGCAGACAATGATACCATCGATACCCGCATAGACTTCCTCTCCAGAAGCTTCGGCTTGCCGTCGCTTACTCTCATAGTCGAGAAAGTCCTGCCACGAGTCGAGACTCTGGTCCTCTCGTGGTGCCCCGTCATCCCAAACATATTTCTTGCCAAACGAAATCCGTGTCGATTGTAAAGGTTCTGCAACCGCCGCAATGATGGCTGGCAGCCTCTCTCGTCGTACTGCAGAAGCGTAGGCGGTTCCGCGCCGGCCGGCTCCAATGATGAGAAATCGAGGCTTGCGATGGACGGCTGAGCTCAATGCTCTTCGCGCCGAAGCCGTCAATCTCTGCGAATCGGTGTCGTCTACCCCTTTTATGTCGAATTATTCATAGTTTGTAAGTGATTGGTGATGACACTTTAACCGCGAGTATTGTTAGGTAGTGGGAGTTTCAATATAGGAAGCCTTCTGCTGTGCCCCGATAACTGATGTAGCCTGCCGACTGATTAGGCTATGGGACCTAATAGACGATATGCTGCTTAAAGTATATTGGTGCCCGCTCTGTGTAACCGGCTAAAGTACCTGGCTTTATTACGTAGTAATATTGAATTTTCGTATGTTCGTAATGTTAGGCCGCGGCTCTATCCTTAGCCTCGTAGAGTATATTAAACTCACTTATCGTCTGGTCCGTTGTTTGTCTGAGGGGACTGCCAGTTCTATGTTGTTTTACTTAATCAAGTAGGTCTTTGTTCTTTGATTTTTCTTTTGCTAGAAGTGACCTTTAAATATATCTGGATTTGATAAGGTGGCTTGCAATGGCTTTATATGTCTATACCGAACTCTAAGCTATAATAGGTGACTTGAGGCTGGTTATCTTGTAGCTAGGTAGCTACCGCGACGAGTTGCGCTGTAACATTCTTTATTATCTACTTCTCGAGCTAAAGGAACCTTTCAAGGACGAAAGGCTGCTTGTGAGCGAATTGTAGAAAACTCTTCTAGATGGCTGGACGGTGGATTAAACTTTGGATGGGCGATGCCTGTTTATGAGCCCACGCTACCTACTTAGGAATCCCTAATTCTTGGAAATACCTAGATCCCGAATATGATTCGAAAGTATATGCTATGCTAGGGTATTCTGTGAGCGATATCTTTGCGTAGTACGTACTTCTATATGAGGCCTTATCCTATTCCTGGGGAACTGCTAATGACGAAGAATTTATTTACATTACCGACCCAGCTAGTACTTATAACACGCTAGCCTGGTTAAGGATCTGTAAAAATCTAGCTACTGCCCTGAGATATCTTAGATACGCGGATTAACTGCGCACATTGTGGATCGATGCTATCTGTATTAACTAAGCTAACGTTGAAGAGCGTGGGCGATAAGTTAAGCGGATAAGCTAGGTTTACCTACTTTTCGAAAAGGTGATAATCTGGTTGGGCTCTGAGTTTGAGGATAGTAAATATGTGCTGGAGACCTTGGAGTATTTTAGTAAATAGGTGGAATATGTGATTTCTTATCGGTGGGGAGATGCCCCTAACGTCGAGTAGTTTGATTGGTGGCGAGACGACGTTCCTCTGCCCTGGAAGGATAGGACTTGGAAATCTATATCTTCGCTACTCCATCGACCATGGTTCGAGCGTGTCTGGGTTCTGCAGGAAGCTCTTTTGTGCGACCGTGTGGTGCTTCAATGCGGCCGAGACGCTATCGCCTGGGTCGATGTACGCAAGGCATTACTGGTGCTCCGACAGAAGTCAAGTCTGCTGCCAGACTGATATTAGGCGTCGTCTCTTCCCATATGCACGAGGCTTGATGGCACCGCCGCTCGCTTCATGTGAGCACCTGTTACTCTGGGCGCGGAATCAGCAATGCTCAGACCCTCGAGACAAGGTGTACAGAATTTTGGGCTTAATGGATCCCAGAATCGTAGCCAAGATCGAGGTGGACTATTCTTTCCCTCCTTGGAAGACATTTGCACAGCTCGTCTTAGCTGAACATGACGTCTACCAGAAATTGAACATGATCAATAATTGCGGCATAGCGACGCGTCCCGAGGGGTGCCCATCGTGGGTACCAAACCTGGAGCAACCAGTAGAAGGTGCCAACATAGGGTACTTGAGCATTCGAAGATTTTATGCTTCTGCACGCTCCAGTGCTGTGGTGAAGCTCATCGAGCCGGCTGACCATTTACAAGTCACCGGGAGACGCGTGGCCATCATCAGTCGTGTTAGCGATGACCTGAACGGCACATTCGTACAACTCATGGAAGTGGTCCGAGATTGGGCACCGAAAGATCCACAAAACGACAAGTACGTCTCGGGAGGACTTTCTATGGATGCATATGTCGAAGTCCTTGTGCGCGGTAGGACCAGCGACAGAGCTTTGGGGGATAATCCGCTTCCATCCATCCGGCGGCTTCGCGAGCTGTTGACATCGGCATTATCTAAAGACAAACTTGATGGTGAGGTAGCGCGGGCATTCAAAGATTGCTTCTTCGCGAAAGAATGTCTCTTTGTTACCACGGAAGGGTACATGGGTGTCTCTGCGAGAGGCCTGCAAGAAGGCGAGTCCCCTCCATCTCAAGACTTACCTCCAAGGTAGTCAATCACTTTCGATCGTGTGAGGTTAACCTCTAGAACTAGGCGATCAAGTTGCTGTGATTCTTGGATGCGACTTCCCAATGATTCTACGGCCTGGAGATCCCGGCCGATACGAGGTCGTTGGGCCGTGTTTCGTTCATGGGCTAATGCTCGGCGAGGCATTGAAGCCACCTTTAAAGCCGCCGTGGAAAGATGCGCTTCCCGTCACCAAAGGTTGGGCGATGCCGTATTTCATCAACACCGAGACGCGTGAGCTTATGAAGACCGATGTGAGGCTCGGTTCATTGCCTCTTGACTGGGAAGAGGTGGCGTCAATCGATCCCTTTTTGCCGCCCTTCGTGTTCAAGAACAAGAATGATGGGCGCATCAGTGTTAATGATCCAAGGATGTCGGTAGACGCTATACAGAAAAGGGGTATCGAACTAGAAACTCTAGTGTTGACATGATCCGGGGCAATGTCCTTGGATTTCCCTGGGTCACATCTAGAAACGTTGAAGTTAAGTATCAGTAATAGTAATAATAGTCTATGAACTCCACGTCTTGAGACCTTCTTGTCATATAGCTTATTGACTCACCCTGCCTTACGACATGTCATCAAGCACAATATACCCAAAGCACTTGCGGAGAAAACACCATGTCACAGCATCACCCAATCTCTTACATGATTCGCATCTACCCAAACGCTGGCTACATACACCAACCCATCCCACCTCACAACTTCGCCTTCCCCCCACTCTCAGCCTGACTCCTCCCAACAAGCTCCCAAGCAAACTCCGCCAACGGGCCCCTCGTAACAGCAAACCTCTTTGCCTGCTCACTGCTCGCCTGCCCCTGCGCCGCCCTCGCCGCGATGCCCTGACACACGCCCGCCAGCCGGAACAGGCTAAACGCCGCGCCCCACGACAGCTCCGCCGCGGGCGTCCACCCGCCGCCCACGGGCGAACCGGCGGGGGCCTGCGCCGCCTCGGCCGTGTACCACCCGACAATCTCCTCGATCGTCGGCAGACCCGGGGTAGCGCCGGGGAGGAAGCCGTCGTTGGCGTAGAGACCGCTTCCCGCGCGCGAAGCGGTGAAGTAAGGGTGGAGGAAGTTGCAGAGGTCGGAGAGGGGGTGGCCTACGGTGGACATTTCCCAGCTAGATTGTTGTCAGCCTTGAGACAAGTTCATAACTTGACTGGGGAAGAAGAGAACGAGAAAGAAGAACGGGGGGCAGGGAAAACATACTCCAGAATACCAATGACCCTCGGCTCCGTCTTGTGAAAAACGAGATTATCAATCTTGTAATCCCCATGAATCAACGTGCCCCGGTCCTTGGGCTGCCGACTCTTATCGCTAAAAAACGCAACCATCTCCCCAAAATGCGGCAAATCCCCAACCTTTTCCCCCGTCTCCAGATCCACCGCCGCCGCCTGGCTCTTGCAAATCGTAGTCCACGTCTGAATCTGCCGATCGTAGAACCCGCTCTTCTTGCCAAACGTCTGCAGGCCGACGTCCTCGGGCGCGACCCGGTGTAGCTTCGCCAGCGTCAGCGTCGCCGCCTTCCACAGCGCCTTGCGCTCCTCGGGTGAGGCGACCTCGGGCATGGCCGCGTCCTCGAGGATGCGCCCGTCGAGAAACTCCATGATGTAAAACGCGGTGCCGACGACCGACTCGTCCTCGCAGAGGCAGTAGGCCTTGGGGACCGGTACGTCAGTGGGCTCGAGGGCGTGGATTATGCGGTGCTCCCGCTCGACCTTGTGCGCGGCCTTGGAGAGAAGCTTTCCGGGGGGCTTCTTGCGCATCACGAAGCGCTTGTTCGTCGCGTCGGTGAGTTGGTATGTCGGGTTCGACTGGCCAAAGCCAAACTGTAATGTGTGGGAAAAGGCCAATGTCAATCGAGGAAAGGAACGTTCCTTCTAACCACGGGCAAAGAAAAGAACAAGGCATTGAAGAGGCAATGCTGGTACGGAAGGCGGGCCGTAGACGTACCTGTTTAATCTCCAGTGGCGTCTTGATCTGCGGCACATTCTTCTCGATATATCGTTCCAGCGCCTGCTGGTCGATTGGGTGTCGCACGCGTCCTGCCATCTTGTGCTGTGCCGTCCTTGGAGTGCGGAAAGACTGGGTTCTGAGCTCAAGGGTCGTGTCCGCTGCTGATTTCCAGTCGAGTATCGCGGATTGTAGTCGCAATTGGCTTAAATAGTACAGGTTCTCACTTCGTAGGGATACTTGTCGGATTAAACCGGCTGCCGATGAAGATATGTAGTCAGTCGAGGTCGTTGCAGGTCCGCCGATGCCGTCAAAGTTCTCGGTCGTAGAGAGGTGAATTTCGGGGTACAATATTAAGGTACCACCCACCTAGGTAGGCTGGCCGGCGCATCTCTGGTTCGGACCTTTGCCAGCCTCGGTTCGTCCCCCAGTGACGTTTTAGCGGGCACGCGGGGGTGAGCCGGGGCCTGGAATGCTATCCAAAACTCCATACAAGGTGGGCGGCCGAGAGAGCAATCTGATTGACTCCCCCAAAGCTGCCCCCAACCAGCACAAAGATGCCGAGGTCCACCGGCCTAAGGAGCCTCAGAGCTGTCTTAGCTTTAGGACTGTCCAGTCTCCAGAGCGGGGGAGACGGACGCACTTGGGGAACCTGCACCCGACTCAGCCCAGGGTCTCCTTCACAGATGGTCCTTGGGATGCAGCAGAATGCGGAGGTGGAGGCGGGCCTCGATAGCCGCACCCGACCGAGCCAGAGATCCAATCTGAACTAATGAAGCCAGCCATTCCGTTCCTTCATGCATGGCCCTGATCGAGGATACGTCGCCGCGGCCCCTTCATCTGCTGGCCCAAAAGCCTCGTTCCTGTGCTGCATGATCCATCTTGTGGGTACTTTGGAAAGAAGCCCATCCTAGCTCCGAATCCCTCCTTCACATAGAGTGTTAGTGTAAATCGTAGATAACATCCTCCTAGTCACCCTCAATGGCACGCATTTGCAATAAAAAGACTAAAAGGTATAAATTGCTCAAAAAGTAATAAAAAAAAGTTCGTTAAATCCGTGTTTCTCTCCATACATACGAATCCGGCGACGGATTTTGCCAGGAAACCCAGTCTATCTCCATCAATCCAGCAAGTAAGAAGTGGTGAGGCAGATAAATATAAGCGTAGATATCATCTTCAATCATACTCTTGTTCCCGTACATCAAACTCGCGGCACACCACTGGCTGGCGGCTTTTCGTTTTGGGGTTTTCTTTTCTCTTCGTTTCAACTCCCTGCTGAATCACGAAATATAAAAAAAAAAAAAAAAAAAAAAAAAAAGGAAGCCGTTGGTAGCCAGACCATCTGCCCAATTCCCACACTACCGACCATTCCCCAAGAAGAAGAATCCCTCGTCCAGGAAAAGAATTGTGACACGAAGTGAAGTCAAATCAAAAACAACAAGGAGAAGGGGGTAATCGAGTAAACACAAGAGGGGTATCCGTCGTTTCGAGTCGTCCATGCATTCTTCCCTCCCATTTCCCTTGCGGCCACCCGTCTAAACGGGCGCCATGCTGTTGCCAGTCGATAATGTGTATTAGCCGTGAAAGCGAAAAAAAAGAGGCGCGATAAAAAAAAAGCCAATGACGACCGAAATGGCATCGGCTAGACCTGGCAGCCAGAGAGCAACGAGAGTCCTGTGTACCGGCCCGCATGCTGCGTATAAAGACATCTGGAAAACTCCAGCCCCTATAGACACATCCCGTACAAGCTCCCTCCTCTCCTTTGTAACCCCAATTCGAAAGAGTGGAGATGGCTACAAGTCGTCTCTGCAGACGGTCGTGACTTCGTGATCGAAATGCGCGACAAAACATGAACGAATAGTATGGCTGCGAATCAAGACTCGTCATCCTCCTCCTCGTCCTCTTCAGGAGTCTCGGATGCTTTCTTGGCCTTCTTGTTCGAGCTGGAGTCGTCAGCTTCCGATTTCCTCTTGGAGCCGGCTTTGGACTCGACAACGTCCTCGGGACCCTCGCCAGAGCCACCACCCTTCTCGCGCTCGATGGCGGCAACCTCCTCGGCAGTGAGGAAACGGCCTCCAGGTCCGCGAGGCCGGCGCATAGCATGGTTGTGCCTTGACTCGTGAAGGTATGGCTTGCGGCCCTTGGACGTCAGACGCAGCTGCTCCTCCAACTTTTGGCGTGCGACACGACGCTTGAGGATGCGATGGAACTGCTTAGCATTGACGTAGAGGGGCGATTCCTCGACACCACCGGCGGGCATCTCGGGTGATTGCGGGTGAGGCATAGCTTGAGCCTGAGCCATTTGCGGCGGCGCAACACCAGGTCGCGCGCCGACGTGATTCATCATACCCTGCGCCGTAGGTACTCCGGGGCTGGTGACTTGACTGAGGCGTCTCTGGCCCGGTAGCTGCGAAACGTTGTTCATCTGGGTGGGTGATCTAGGATCGCGACTCTCTTTCTTCGCTCCGCCCATTCGCGGCGAGGTTTGGGGCAAACTGGGGTCCGACTGCATGTAAGGGTAGTTGGATCCCGACGCAGCTGCAGTTGCCGCCATGGCGGCGGCTTGGATTTGAGGCATGCCATAATGCATTCCCTGCTGGGGGACGTTGTACTGTGGCTGGTACATGTTGTGTCCCTGTTGTTGAGAGGGTGATTGCTGTTGAGACAGGATAGGTGACGTCTGTACGCCGTGAGGAGAGGTGATGTTGTTTCCTGTGGTGGAGTTCGTGTATCCGGAGTGGGCGTTTTGAGGTTGTTGAGGATATTGTGCGTATTCCATCATACTGGGGTCAAGCTTGTTCGAGGGATGATCAAGCTATGCAATGAAGGCTATTGTCTTCGTCGCGTAGGGTATCGGAACCAATAAGAAGCCAGCTAAGTGGTGTAGCTTGACAGCAGCTTTGGCGCGGTTGAGAAAAACGTGACCGTGGGAAGGGAAAAAAAAGGGTATCACGGCTATGGGTCGCGAGTGACGAATGAGTTGCGACGAAAGCTGCCTTTCTCGTGAGGAGTGAGCTTTAAAATGACTGGGACGGCCCGTCTGCTTGGGTTGAGTTGGGCACACGGATTGGGAGCCGGCGGTGTCCTAGGGTCCTTTTTCCAGTGTATTGGGAGCGGAGGGGCTCAATCTATTGGTGATGCGTGGATGAGCTGGCAGTGGTGCGCGACGCAAGTGGCCGACCACGGCATATGCGGGCTGATGTAGTCGCGGGGCGGACGAGGTGGGTGGCTGAGCCTGGGGTCAGAATGACAGCCACGTGAGAGCGGCGAGAGTGTGTGGGTTCGACAGAGGCGGGCAGGTATGTCGAGGCTGCTACCGTACAAGGCGGAGGCGAGGCGGCGTCGGTCGTGTTGCTTCTAGCCGATCAAGGGCTCCTTGGTCCTGGGCTGGTCTACCGGCTGCACAGCGGGAGCGGGTAGGGCAAGAGTCGGCTTGTCCTTGTTCTTTTGGACGAAACAGGTCGGTCGGTGCCTTGAGTTCTCCAGAAATTAGAGACCGTTTAATCCTTTTCCACTTCGCGTCGTTAGATCTGTCCAACCAAGAATGTTAGTTTTCCTGTATATAAGCCAGAGCTCGGGATGATGCGACAAAGACAAGCAGATGGGGTGGGGTTCATGTTTCTCTCCTGGCGTCTCGGGCCACCACTTGATGCGCTGGCAGACCTCGCATGCATGACGGAATATGCAGAGACAAGGCCCACCATGCCAACCTACGCCGCGACACTTCCCCTTGATGCGGTTATGGTGGCGGCGCAGAGCCAAAAGACAGTCCGAGCTGCGTTGACAGAGCCCGTGCTTGCACCGGTGGAGGGGAAGGGGTGCCTGTACAGGGCGCTGTCGTGTATCGCTGCCACAAGTCAAGCTAAGCTCACTGAGCGCTTCGCAACAACGTCCATTCCACTGGGAGTGCACCTCGATGTGGTGGTAGTGGCAGGCATGAGAAACCTTTCCAATGCGCTGCTGGTGCTGGTGCTGCGTCGATATGCCGCCGAAGGGGTGCTTCGAGAAGTCGTAGAAGACTTGATGCGAAGCACAACAGTCGAGACAGCGGAACGTCAGAGGATGAGGAAGTGAAGACCCTCCCCCCTAAGGGTGACGCGAAGGCCCGCAGATGACAGGAAAGAGACAAATTGACGTGTACATAGTGAAGGGGAGGGGGGAGCACCGAGGGATGGGTGGTTACACCCCCGGAGAGCACGGGAAGAGTACGAGTGCTGGAGATGCTGAGGAAAATGTGATAATGAAGAACGTACAATAAACGTACCACGAAAGTTGGAGATCTGGGTGTAATCGCCGATGAAAGCGATGTGCCGCGAAGGAGGTGTGAATGTTATGCGCCCTACTCAAGTCAGTAAGCATGTGTTGTCCGTCCCGGTTTCAAAGAACAATAGGTGCACACAAATCGTGTGTGTGAGGAATTGGGAGAAAAGAAAAGACAACAGCCAGAAGAGTATCCGTACTGGTTCTGTTCCAAGATTTCGTCAAGTTTTCTCCCTCTTCCACTTGGCAATGCCAGATAGATAGGTAGCCCGAGATATGAAGCGCCGAATTTGACAGAGGAGCCAAACTCGGATAGCGTACAAAATAGAAATGACCAGGCGGGATAGGGAAGGAAGATGGCGGCCGTCGTCAGGGACAAGGAAGCGCGCGTACAAGGCTGGACAGGAGGGGCGCCAAAGGACTTGAGTCGAGTGGCATGCGAAACGTACCTGGTTGGCTGAATTTTTGGCTTTGGGGGTGAAATTCTCGGGGATTGGCTCCTGGTCTAAGTCGAGACGAAGCTTTCTGATAGGCTTTTGACTCGAGTGTCACGATATGAGCTTGAAATCGCCTCCGAAGAAGCTATGACGCGTTGCGCGATAGAATGTTTGGCGGGAGGGCGAAAGTGCGACGCGGTTGGGCTGAGTGGCCTTTTGCTGTGGTCGCGGTGCGCTGCGCTGATGCGATGCGATGCGTGCGATCCGGAGCGCTGCGGTCAAACAGGCAGAGACGGGAAAAGATGCTCTTTTCCGCAGGTTGCTTCAGTCACCTGATGAGCGAGCAGTTGATATTGCTACTGGTGTTGGGCCAATAGACAAGATGCTTGGTCGCAGGATAGCGAGAAGATCAAAGTCGACGATGATAGGACCTCTCTGGGGGGGATTCCAAGTCGCGAACAATTCACGACTGTTGGGTGAGTGGTGAGTGGTGAAATGTGAGTGGTGGTGTCAGGTCGGGGGAGACGTTTGGAGAGTTGAGGGAGGGACGTGAGTGGTCGCAAGAAAAAACCGAGCTGATTTGCTGGGTTTTGTGGGAGGGCGGGTTTTTTCTGGCTTTTGGCTCGTTGGATTCGCTGGAGCTTTTTCCTTTTGGCGAACTGGGGCTCTTTGGCACTTTGTACGCCTGTTTCGGAGGGTCGAGAGGGTCGAGAGGGAAAAAAAACCAAGCAAAAGGTGCGTGGATCCTGAAGACACGAGTGTGAGTGTGTGGCGTCGGCGGAAGATGGGTCACCTTTTTTTTTTTCCCTCTTGCTGGGATCAGGTGGGCCTAAGGCTGCGAAGAGAAAGAGGGGGTGTGTTTAACAGAAACTGCGGTAGGAAAGACGGAAGGAGGGGAAAGGAAAGGGAAAAAGGCCAGGGCGAGGAAGGTGAGAAGGGCAAGGCAGCCAGGCAGAAGAGGGGTAGGGGGGGTGGGAAGTGGGAAGGGGGTATGGTTTGCTGACGTTGACGTCGCAGTGAGGGAAGGAAGGAGCAAAGCAGACACGGGCGGACTGGGAGAGGGTAAGGGCGGGAAGTGAGGAAGTGAAGTCTTGGGTAAAGCCGCACCGTGGTACTCCGAAGTGGTGGTGGTGGTGGTGGTCCAACCTACAGCAATGGAAGGTACGCACACACGCCCCCTCTCGCGTTGAGGTGTAATTATTTTCTTTCCACTTTCTCAGGACGTCGTCGCCAGTGCGAATGCACCACGCCAGACAGGAAGTTGGGCTGGCAATAAAAGTGGCAGAGTCGGTAGGCAGGGCCGGGCAGGGCAATGTTGCGTCACTGCTTTTCTTCCTTTCTCGATCTGAGTCGTCGAAATCTGCGTTGTCTGTCTTATTCTTGGGTTGCCTTCCCACCACCGTTTTCTGGCGGTGTGTGTAAGTGACCGTGAGGTGTGTAGAAGGAGGCAGGAAAGAAAAGGTGCGCGCGGGCGTTGTGCTCGGTGATGCGTTGCGTTGCCGCTGACGGCTTGCCTGTTTGCCTGCCTGCCTGTCGCGCTATGTTTCCCCCTCACTGTCACTTGCAGACCTTTTCTGCTTTTCTTCACGTCTGCTCTTTGGCGATTCTTCGCGCGCGTCTCTTTGCAGCTTTGCTAAGATGTCGTCCGCACAACGCGCCCTGGTTTCAAGATTGATAGAACGCCAAAATGCGGAGCGGATAGGCTTAGCTGATGATTGGCGACCGATTGATATGATGGTCGAGGGTCCAATGGAATGACACCAGCTTGGGCGACCCTGGTGTCTGTTTCCAAGTGCTGTTGAGGGACGAAAGCTGATTGAATGATTCGACTCGCTCGCTCTCTTGCTGTTTGCTCACCCTCTGTCTCGTTCTCCCGTCCTCTCTCTTTTTTTTCTGCCTTCGCACCTTGTCACGTTTGGGTGGGTCGGGAAGAATTGATTGGTTGGGGCGGAGGAGGAGGTGGAAGACGAGGGAGAATTCTGGTCCATGATTTGAGGGGCGGGGACCATTAACCCTTTAACATCTCTTACTGGCTGAATAAGCGGGTCCGGATGGGACATTGGGTGTGGCTGGCGTCGCTGGCTTCGCTTCTGATTTGCTGTCATGACGTGATTCTGAGCTGGGTCTGCTATGCTCACACCTCTTTTTCTCCGACAGAGAGGAAGGAGGGGTGCGCTCTGGATGGATCTGTGGGAAGAAGTGGGTCTTTCCAGTAAGGCATCCAGTCATTTTCCCATTCTCCCGTCGCTCCTTCACTGCTTGTCGAATTTCCTGGCCTTGGTTTTTTATTTTATTTTATTTTTGAATTCATGTGCAAGAAAGTCAGGTGCAGAAGTAAGTATCTCCCATTGTCCTAGGAAGGTACCAGTGTTGTTACTGAGGATGGAGGTCCCTCTAGTTGACAAATTTCGTGCCGAACATCTCAATTGTTATCAACAAGTTAGCATCTTCCCGTGTGATTTTGATAGTGTCTGCTAGAAAGAAGTTTACATTCCCGAACGTGGCTCGTCGCCCTCTTCCGTTCATGGCGGCCTTTCTTTTCCCTCTAGGTTCCTCCGAGCGCTCAGCGTCTGCCTGTCAACCTCTTTGATTTTCTGCCCTGGTCCTCTAACTCTCGACTTTTCCGCATGGGGCAAAGTCTCCATCTGCCACGTTACTTCAGCACTTCCCTCTCTTAAAGCAAGGCTGCACACGCCAGCGACGATAGAAAACATGAGACGAGGAGGGACTCATCGTACCGCTGTCGCTCAATGCCCATCCCGACCTCCCGGCAGGATGACCACTTTTGGTCCATGCTGACCCAAGCTCCAGCTCCAACACGACACGCGATATGCGGTGCAGCGCTACAGATAGACAGACTGCACTCGTTATTCTCCCGAAGCTCCAAGTTCTAGAGCTGTTGAGGCGGACCCTACTGCACTGTACCTTGGGCTACCTCACCACGCCTCTCATCCGTGTCTTCCCATTTTCTCAGCCGTCGTTTCATAGCACGGCTGCGGTATGCGCGTACGGTATGGGTGACGCAACAAACCAGCCGGCCAGCGTCGGCACTGAAGCGAAAACCTGATCCATCATCCAACACTCCGAGGAATGAAGCCGATCGACAGCTTGTGAGCTGGCACCTAGCAAGGCCTAAATTTAGTGACCGACGATTCACTCGGGCTGCGCATCTTCTGTCTTCCGCCTTCGACACTGCCAGGCTGCCTCATTTTCCTCGCCGCGACGGGTGCGGGAGTGGGACACGGACAGTGCGAGCAAGGGGCACTTGAGCGGAGAGCAAGAAAAAAAAAGGAAGAGGCGGTGACGGCTGTTCTGCTCTGCCCAGTGCCGCCAACTACTCTGCTAGCCTCCCTCGGCTGTTGGCTTTGGAACGGTGAGGGGCAAAAGAAGGTCAGGTTGACGAGCGACGGGGAGGCTGGGAACGAGACGTCCTGACGACTCGGTTCATTCGAATTGAAATCCCCAAGGGTACTGCTGCCGGATGTGATATTGTTTCCAATGTCTGGTAGCATATTCAGGGTAAAAAGCCTCAACCTGAGTATTCTTGCCAGCGCTTAATTATCACAGGCCGGTTACGGTGCTCTCATTTCAAACGACCGGGTAGAATTCCGAATCACTGTTTCCGGGTTTCATAGACCACGGCAAGATCACCAGCTGCTGGTACGAAATACCTACCGACACTGCTGGTGGTCCTGATGCGGACTGACGGTTTGCGCTGGTTGGTAGCTCGCCAGGGGATGGGCTCGAAGGCTGGAGCTCACACTGTCGATCGGCTGGGCTGGACTACACGGTATTGGTGCGAGCTGGGATGGTTCCCTGCAACTGTGACGCGACTCTGTGTCTCCGGGTTTCCTGTCCCAGCTCCGTCCGCGCCGCATCACACACCTTTCTTCTTTTCACGGCTTGGGGCAGCACAACGAGATATTGCGAGGGCCCACCTTCAGCCACTTCGGCCCCACGTGACACACACCGCATAATTTTCTGACGAAATATTTTTACGGCTCTGGATTTCTGAAGCAGCGCTTCCCTGACGAGCCGCTGTGCTCTGCAGGTACGTACCTGCATCCTGCGCTGCCTCTCACGGACTCCTCGCGTTCCTCACAGGCTCCCACCCTCCTCAAGCAACTCGAGCGGGGGAACTTTGGGGTGGCGCTCATAGAAGCTCAGAAGGCGGAAAGTGGTGCACCAATTCACAGCTCTACAGTATTCGTATGGATACAGACAACTTGCTTCAGTTCCCAAGGCTTTGGAACAAAGTAGGCAATAGCATGGATGAAAAAGCAACATATCGCAAGCACGACTATCGAAAAGACACCAATATCAAAGCTTGCCGACAACGGACTGCCATACAGATACACAACACAGCATACGCGGTTT